TATATATATATATATATATATTGGTAGGCACGGTGTACTTTGGAGCAAATGCCTTGATGTAACAAAACAAATTGTTGGAGTTCCGTTTTCTGGAAAATTGTGACAAATCGATATACAGTGTTATAAATGTACTTAATGAAAGAGATTAATTTCGTATCATATATTGTGATTAAAGAGCTGCATCACGTAAATAATTATTTTTAACGACGTATTCAAAGAATGTATAACAGACAGATCGAGAAGGAAATATGAATAATATGTCAATAAAAAGGTTATTCTTTTCAAAATGTTTTTATTTCAATTTACGTTTAATTTCATTATATTTATAGAACAATAACAACACTTAAAAATAGGTGGCGCATAACTATATTTCATTACGAAAACAAATAAATTACTTTTTTAATAATTGTATTTTCTGCAAAGTAGTTCTGCACTTTTTCCTTAACACCAGTAGGACATATCTTTTTTTTTGTTTTCACTCTGAAATCTTATGATTACTAAACACACACTGAATTTTCTACAACAGTTTTGGCCTGAAAAATCATATCAGTGAAATTACTAAATTACAAATTAAGAATAGTTAATCGAGTTAAACACTGGGTAATTACCTTCAGTCTTTCTTCATCTTTTTCCAAACAAATACCAATTAATTTGCTTTGCTCTTCTAAAAGAGTTTTAATACTTGTTATACTATTGGTGATGAGATTATAATCTTTTTGGAACTGCTGGTACTCCTGTGAACATAAAATTCCAATTTACTTTCTCCATGTTATCTATGATACCTATATAACTTTGTGCACCAACCTCTGAACTCTTTACTGCAGTTGTTGACGACTCGCACAGCATCTGATTTCTGGTTTTTTTCAATTCCATCCCGCAGATGTACAAGATATCATTAGCTTTTAAAATATGAGTTTTAATTGACAGGGAATCTCCCAACAACAACAGCATTTTCTTTGACAAAACCTGAACGTTATGAAAATTTTTTTAATTTTTTTGCGCACTTGCATATTCATTTTAGAAACAAAAAAAAATTATTTACATTGTCATTCCTGGAATTGACATATTCAATGCATTCAGCGATATGATCGCACTGATCCATCGTGTGTTTTCCGATAGATTCCAATTCTTCGTTCAAAGAATACAAATTGCACGACATTGCCTACGAAAGTTTGTTTCGTTAAAATATACATTGTAACTTATAAACACCATATTAATAAATACGTACGTCGATGTAATCTCCCGAATGTTCGATCGTTGCGGCGTTTCCGATTGAATTCATATTGACTTTTTGTCTGATAAGGCCTATCTAAGTAAAAAAATTCAATTATTTTTTCGCTAATAGAAGTTATTGTTTTGCTCAACGGTAAAACAAACTTGATCTACGTACGCAGTAAATAAAAAACTCGTTCGGTAATATAATCGAGTAACTTGTTTAACATAGTAAAAAATCGTTACTGCGAATAATAAACTTTATTACATTTAATGCAACTCTCGTTTGATCACGAACTTTTTGTAAACGAAAAAATCTTTAATTTTGAACGTATTATCCTTTAAACTCTCGCAACTCAACTGAAATTCAAGTAGAAACTTTCGAAGAAAAATACAATGATAATAATAAAAATACATTTGAAAATCATGTAAACAAAGGAGTTATCACATTTACAATTTTGCGTTCTGTGTTGACACAAACGTGACAATTTAATCAAAAAATTAAAAAAATTTATCCAAGTGTTACTTTTAGAGGGGGGAAATAATGACAAAAAACAATTCCAAATACTATGAAAAAAATTTTAAAAGCACCGATTACTGATCATTCCGTGCAATTCCAAAGCGCATGAGTGAGCGGAACTGTGAAATGATTGGACTGTGCGATAGTTTGTTTACCTTTCCGTTTTGACGTTGAAGGGGGATTTCGTTTTGTTGTTGCTCCGAAAAATATCTCCAAATACTAACTAAGTGTACTTAAATATGTCAGAGTACGATAAAGTGCGAACGAAAAAATTAGTGCTCAAAGGAGAGAAACAAAAGTAACTGTTATTTGTTGTAACCGAGTATTGTTAATGGTGAGCATTGTATGTTATTGATCTATTTATTGCAGATCCAAAAAGAGGAAACACAAAAAGCAAGGAAGGGACGAGAAAACAACCTCTGAAAAGGACGATGATGACACTATTCGACATGGTACAAAATTTTATACAAACCGTATTTTTTTTTAAGACAAATCATTGGTTTGCTGATAACATAACCTTGAGATTCAAGTTTTTTTTTTTCATACGTAATGCAAAATTTAATAAATTCATTGTGTATGCAACAATTTTTCTCTATAGGTGGTTGGAAAAAAACTACAAACATTACGGACATCACAGGCACTGTGGCAATTGAGTTTGGTAACTCTACGTACGTGAAAGCCCTTGATAATGGACTATTTACTCTTGGAGCTCCACATGATGAAGGTGAAGGTCCTCATCCAGAGGAAATTTTAACTGCATTTCCAATTAATGAGACAAAAATAGCTTTAAAGTCTGGTTACGGGAAGTACATTGGAGTTGACAAGAAGGGAGTAGTCGTGGGTAGGAGTGATGCTGTGGGACCAATGGAACAATGGGAACCAGTTTTTCAAGTATTTATTGCAATAATTCATTGTTTTTAATTTTTGCTTACGTCAATGGGACAAATTAATGTTTTGTTCAATTCTAGGATGGAAAATCGGCCATACTAGGCAATACAAGCTGCTTTGTTTCTGTCACTGACGATGATGATATTGTTTGCTCGAAACTAACAGCTGGCCCAAATGAGTATGTACATATTAGGAGCATGGCTCAAGAAGTTGATGACCCAAATAAAGATATGCCACAGGAGGAATTAGGATCGATAGAAGAAATTGAAGTTAATTATGTGTAAGTAAATCTAATTGAAAGAAACATCCATTTATAAGTGCATAAAGGCTGATTTCTCATAAAAATGAATTCTTGCAGACGAAAATTCCAAAAGTTCCAAGACAAAAAACTAAAAATAAGCAAAAATAAAATATCTGAGTTGAAGAAGGCGAAAGAAACTGGAATTTTTCACGAAACTTTGCTGGATAGGCGTAGCAAGATGAAAGCTGATCGATATTGTAAATAAATAATCTTCTGAATTTTCAATTATGTCTGTGTAAATAAAGTTTCAACAATAATAAACTTAGCGCTTTTTTAAATAATTTATTTATCATTTTTAAAATCAAATCAAAATTTTTGATTTTGAAAAAAAAAATCACTTTTAAAAATCAAATGGTTGTGATGATAACTTTAGTAAGGTATGGAACTCAACATTATTTATTACACATATTTGTGAGCTCCTATGTAAGGGTACAAAAAACATTTTTCACTTTTTCCTCGATACAGTCGTCGTTGTTTTCAGGAACATAGACCTTTTAAATTCTTTGTAACACTAAATAAATTCTGGCCTTTCATAGGTACGTATTTAATCTAAATATTATAGTGGTTTGACGATGTATGTTACAACGCATGTATGTACATAAACATATTTAGATTATCTATTGTTTAATTGGGCATTTTAATGAATTTCAATACTGCAGAACTTTGAGAACTTAAAAAAAATAAAACTATCATTTTTTATACTGTACTCTTTTATCTAGGATGTAATGAATAATGATTTAAATAGTAAAAACCGTTGTAAAAGTAATTGTGCTTTTTGGTTCCATGTAAAACTTAGCAATCATGCTTTAAATATTTTTACCCACTAGTTACTTACCTTTACTTTTTCACAGTACCTCAGCCAATGATCAATTCATTCATCGAGATTCTAGGAAGAAACTAATAATTCCGCTTTATGCATTAAAAATCACCTTCGGTAACATTATGACAATGAAAAAGAGCGCCAAATTAAAAAAGCAGCAGAGATTTATTATAATTTAAATATTATACAATGAACTTAAATTAACCAGTTTTAAGTTTTGAAATATCCTTGTAGTTAATTTAAAAAAAATATACATGTTAATAGTACTAAATTGTGCTCCAACTGAACATCATAGCATAAATTTTTTTTTTTTTCAATATATTCATATTCAACAATTCTCGCATCTCATATTCCAAGATTCGATCTTTGTATTATTTTTCTTATCTTGTTAATCTTTTGGTTCTTGAATATTGTTCTCAAGGAATTTTTTGATACAACTATATGAAATAATTGTCTTAAAAACTAATAGGTGCTGTAAAAGTGGAAAGAAGAATGCCTTTGACAAGGCGCTATTCCAGAATTCTTTTTCATTACATCGTATGGAATAATTCGACAACAATTCGAATTTTCCTTGAATATTACCTTTGTTATTTATAAACCTTGCACTTGAATTTTTTGCAGACAATTGTAGACAAACAGTAAAAGAAAACAAAGATGGAAAATGACACGATCACTAGCGAGATCTCAAAATTCGTAGGGTCTCACTAACAGAAAAACACTAAGTGACAATTGTAACACAAATGGTGAAAAATATATTCCACAAATTATTTTATTGTATCCATCTACTTCTTAACGATACACTAGTGATAAATTTTTGTTTGAAGTTATAAACTTTTTCTTGGAAAAAAAAGTTGCTCAAGGAGCTCTTTCTCACTGCTAAAATTTTTTATCAATTTCACATATTAATAAATACAACAAAAAAAAAACTTGTTAAAATCTTAAACATACTTCAAGTTGTACTCAAAAGTTTTTAATTATTGGAATATTTTCCGATTATCACAAAGCGTTTTTCTAGACACAGTCGTTTACAATAGCATGAGACTTTTTAAGCTAACTAATTGTAACACTAAATCAATTCTACTTATCCATTAAACTCTGATTCTTGTCGCAGTGAACAGTTGAACGAATAAAACAGATAGCTGGTTTTTGTTTGTTTATCCATCGGTTCAGGAAAAAATTTAGTTATCAACAAATATTGGTAATGAACATATGAGTTAGGACTGTTTCTTCGGTTAGGTGGGTATCTTTTATCAGAGGAAATGATCAGTATCAGTTCAGCGTTTCAGCTGTACCGCGTGTCCATCAAATTTGACGTATCCTCCTGCTGCTGTGCTTTCAGCCACTCGACGAATTCGTCAAGCATTACCGGCCCTGCAATATCATCAACAAGAGTATGATTTTAAATGTAAAACGCAATTTCTTCCTATTAAATGTACAAAGTAATATTTACACGCTCCATCTAAATCGTAATTCGAAAGATCGTCGCTTATTGTGCGGGAGAACTCGAGAATGTTGCACCATTGATCTTTATTTATGACTTTGTACTTTGATTGATCCAAGAATTTGGCAAACTGCGAGAACAATGACCAATGCTTGCCTAACAGTAACTGCAGCATCACTCTCGCGGTTTCCATATCCATACTACGTTGATCCTTATCCTGCTATGAATAAAACAAAATTCCATCAATATAGTCAAAGAGTTACATAAATCTTTTACTCGTTAGCTCTTTTGAAAACGTACTCTAGCAAAATCGTAGGCGTATCTATAAATGGCCTTGAAAGTTTGCGGGTCGTTGAGTAAATTTCTCAGGTGATCTATCTTGTTTTGGATCTTGGTGATGGAGTCACACTGGAGATCCGTCAGGCCCCTGAGCCATTCGTTTAGCGTGAAAAAGCCCATCTGATTGGCACCCATCTTGTGGGCTAACACGAGCATCACTACGTTTTCGGGTTCGACACCGATGTCCTCGCAAAATTTTTCCATACCCTCGGGTCCCAGCATATCCGGATCGTCGACTGTCGTGTACTCTCTGAACCAACTGGTGCAGCGCTTTTGCGAAAAGGTTCCTCCATCGTCTGCTTTTGTGTTTCGCCGACTGTGGGCAACGAAAGATATTTTTTTTTCAAAATTAAAATAAATTCATTATTCTTTCTTGCCGATAAAAATGTTATTATACATCCATCGAAACCATGACAGTTGCTGCTGTACTGTTTGTATTTTAAGCCACAAGGTCCAAGTATGAATAAGTAAATAAAACACCTATTCTATTCTAAGCTCCTTTAAATAAAACTTTACGATTCCGTCCTCTTGTCTTTGTATTTATTTTTCACTTTTGGACAACATTATGTACAAATTAAAATCGTGTGGTTGTTCATGTAAAAATAATTACCCGTTGAAAATTATAATTGTAACCGTAATATCGCTTACTTGGGGAAAAAACAAAAGACGCAAGAGACGTCAAATCACGCAGATGCAACGTAATCTTCCCTCTCTGTCAAGGTTCAAAGTTGTATCGCCGCCAAATAAAATTATATACAAAAGTCGAGATAACTATTTTACATAACTAAACACTTTTCGGGTAGTCTCTTGAGTCAATTATCACGGACTAATTAAAACATTTTTTTTTTTGTTTATTACAAACAGCTGTAGAATTATTTTCTCCTCATAAATCACGTTTACGTATTATTGATTAATGATGATATGAAACAGGGTTTTGAACGTGAAATGAGGAGGACAGACGGCAAACAATATCCCACACACGGCGTATTTGCGAAGTTTCGTAAATACACACCTCTCGTCATCCATACACAACGGAAATTTGATCTGCGCGTCGTTCGCAGCCAGCAGCCGTCGTCCCTTGGTAGACCAAAATCTAAACGGCGACGTGTTTGATCTGTGTGTCGACTTTGCGACACTACACCTTGACGTTTGAAATTTCGATTCGAAATAAAACGAACACGTCGAGGAAGACAAAAGAAAAAAAAACTAAAGACAATGCAGCAACAACAACAACGGTGGCAGTGGCAGTAGAGACGAGATATCCACCACCACCACCTCTTCTCTCGGTTGGCGGCTATCGGACTTACAGCGTCCAAAAATAATCAGCTCGACTCCCCCTACCCGAGCAATTCATTCAAATCGCGTTCTTGTATTAATACACGAGAGACACGTTTTTACCCGTGTCCTCTTATTTTTCTTTGCAACGAAGCACGCAAGAGGATAAACACCTGCCTTTCAATATTCACCCGAAGAGTATAAAAGGAGCTCTTAACAAACCTTGTAGTGATCCTCGAGCGTTTGCTTGGCAGCCTGGACATGTCATCAGTTCCGTCCAGAGGGTTGGTGGTAGTTGCTAATCTTCTCTTTGGTCGAGGCATTCTGCTTTCATCTACAATCAGCGGCTGCCCAAAAACTTCCTCGTAACTGTCGACCGCGTTTCTCCTACCTCTGTATGCAAAGTGTGGTTGGCTTCTCTTGGATGACTCCTCCGACGATGCCTGCAATATCAATTTTAATTCAATGCTATCGTTTCATCTGTCATTAAAATGTTTAGGGAGGGGAGGTACCAAAAAAAAAAGTAAGGGATATGTATCTGAATTATTTTTAATAACAATTATGGGCTCACTAAACAAGTTTCCATTGCACCATTGACATAATCGATGAGTGCAATCGATAGCCATAGAAAAATTAAAATGATGAAAATCACGCGATTTCGCGCTAACGTAAACAGTTTAACTCTTTGGCACAAACTTAGCACTCTAACCAAGAATGAGACAGATAACCAATCTGGAAATATTGAACAGAATCCATTCCTCTTTGATTTGTATTTCAACTCTTCTTTGTTACTGCAGCTCATTGTTTGATTGTTTGTTTGTTTTTCAATTGCCAAAAGTGTGAATGCCGAAAAAGCCGAAAAGTTAGTATTGAAAAATTTTAATGGTTAATTTTGAGTGGGTGTGAGTTTGAAATTTTGCGTTTGCTTTGACAGCTTTCGAGTTGTTAAAATGAGGTGACGGTGTTACCAAGCAACTGAATAACCTGCAGGAATTATAATGAAAAACTTTTACATCAGACTTAATCTATTTTCTGTAGAAATAGGTAGCCCATGTAATTGACGAATGTACTGTAAATTCTTTTTTTTGTCACCAACAACAAATGATTTTTATCACTCAATTCAACAAAACACACACACACACTCTTAAGCTTTACAAAAATGTTCAGTCTTGTGAAAATCGACAAGTCTACAAGTATTTTCATTTGATTCGTCGCAATCGAAACTTAGGTTTTTCTTTTTTTTTTCAAATCACAGTAAATAGTACACAAAAATAAATAAATAAAAACAATGACAACAAACAGGCAATGTTTATTGGTTTTCATCTCGTGAGTCATCATTGCTAGAATAACATCAAAAAAATTTTTTAAATTTCCTCAAAAGCAATAAAAAAAAACTGCCAACTTTGAAAATACTAACTGAACGATTCACAAACTTCCTTCAACTGTGATTTGTTGCAAAAAAAACTCAAGTACTTCAAGCAACTGTCATATATTTTAGTACACTTGCACGGCTGATGTAATTTTTCATGATTAACCTTTTCCTAAAAAGCTATGAAAATGAATGAGCGAAAAGTTGAAAAAAAAAAAAAAAAAAGCAGAAGCTCAAAAGCAGAGAGGACAGAGGAGGGAGGGCGGGCGCAAAAAGCTCACATCCAAATTGAAAGCCGAAAAAAGTATAAGCTCTGAGAATCCTCACCAGGGTGTCGAGATGGTGTACACCGCCGGACAAGTTGAACGAGCTCAGCCTGTCAGTGATGTATCCAGCGGTCTCGTGGCGATGATGTGTCGCCTGCTGGTCCCTCGTCTCAGCCACGTTCGGCAGCACGACCGAGGTCAGATTCATCAATACATGATCTGTTACTCCGACTCCTGGTTTATTCTGTCTACCCGCCTCGCCAGATCACCGACTCTCGCGCTATTACCTACTTGTATTTGTTTAATTTAATTTTTTTTTTTCCCTCGCTTTCCTTGAATTAATTCAACACTCACACTGGGATCATTCTCCGTTTGTTTAAACGACTACACCTAACATTTGTTATTGTTTTCAATTTGAAATTTATCCACAAATGTAAAATAGCACTAACATACAGAATGATACGACTGATTCGAGAACGTGGGAGTGTACAGGGTATTACTTTATAACGTGGTTATAACGGAAGTAGGTATATAATCTTACAGTGTTAAAAGCTCCGTCCCTTCATTTCTCATATATTTATCAATGCATGTAAGTATATGTATATCCGTATAACGAATTCGAGAAATACAGACATGTTTACGTGTGTGTATTTTATTTAACAGCAAGTGAGGAGTGAGGAGAGAGGAATGATTTTTGTTTATAATTTTATTCCAGACGATATGCTTACCTCTTGCACAAAAAACGATGAGTCGACGATACAAGTACGAGAATATTTTGATTTTTTTTCAAGCGTACTACAGCGGGGGAAGAAAGAGACGACTACTCAATGATTCTCTCCTTCTTTCAATATAAGTAAGACCTCTTTTCCCCTCTGTTTGCTGATCAAGCCCAGATTGAGGTTAGACTTCGTTTTTCCTCGATTAAAAGTACATGAAAGCTATTTCCGGCCGGATTTTTCACTCGACGACGCGTACGAATACTGTATTGAATTTGTTGTTACCCTCAGAAACCGTTTGATACAGGGTGTGAGGGTACTGAAGTGACTTTTTGCTCAACGATATCACGCAGTGCACCCACACCCGCGGCTGCCTGCTTCTGCTGCTGCTATTTGGCTTATTCGCGGTTGTCTCTTTTTTACCCCCTCTCTCTCTTTTTTTTTTTTACAAATTGCTCTCTGCATTCCGCATCGACACGCTTGACGCAATAACGTAGATCACGCAATTATTTTTTTTTCTTTTTTTTTTTCTCAAGGCAGGAGAAAAAAGTGCCACAATTAACAAAATGTATAATAATTAATTTTTTATTCGATTAAAACAACAGAAAATCTTGAATGGACAGCTATTGGTGTAAAAAGTATCTTATTTGGTTAGTTATCAGTATACTTTTTTTCATATCAAAATCACATTTGATATTGACATTGTTGTTGATATACCCACACTCATTTCTTCGATAATTCATTGAGATGATATTTATCACAAGAGAAATCCACGTTAGTAAAAAAAAAAAACAAAACAAAAATATCGACTCTTGCATGAAATCAAGTACATTTGAAAAATATTTTCGTAGAAATGTCGAGTGTTTAAATATTAATAACACGAGATAATTTTTGCACTCTGTTAAGTAGTAGATCGCCCTGCTTGACCATAGCTTGGTACTGCCAGTTTTTACTGTCTGGTCTGTTGGTTTCCACGACTCCACCAACTCTGTCCACCTTACAGTGCAATCTACCAGCTGCAATGAAACGAGATAATTCCCTGGAAAATAATCAATACGTTAGTTTATTTTCAAAACAAAAAGTTTGAAAGGCCAAAAAGTTTCTTACTGGTCAACATAGTCAACCGTCACTCCAAAAGCTTCTGCCATGTACTGAAGAGTAAGTGATCTGTATGACTCAAGAAGCTGAGTGTAAGCAAGAATCCTCATTTCTCTTACATAGTATCTGTAATGCGGGTATATGAGGAAATCTCGACGCAACAAACTTTCCACATGCGCTGTTCAGAAAAATATGTTTAGTTACTTGTTAATTGGTTATAACTACTGATCAACTTACCAAGATTTTTAAAGAAGTCAGCATAGTGACAGTTATACAAGGCAAACAAGTATTCCTTGCAATCAGAATTACTGTGCAATACTTCCAAAATCTCGGAGCCTTTGATAATTTTGTCGCGAAGTTCATTACGTGGCAAACTAATCATACTCAAGTAAACTGTGTATCTAACAAAGGTATTGTAATCCATAAGCTCATAACTTGTGAACGTGCTGATAGTGTCGAGGAAGAAGTTGGCTGCCTTTTTAAAGTCACGAACTGTAATGCAATAAGTTCCTTGGTAGACTTTCAGTCTGTTCCTCCTGTCCCAGTCGCCTCCTTCTTCTATTAATCTACAAATACAAACGTATACTTTTCATTTCCAAACGAAAATGCTAAAATAAAACCATGCCAATCCGTGTACTCACGATTCAGCCTTTTCGATATTCTTTATGATAAGATCATGATCCAGGTAAAACAGCCCAATTCTGATGATATGAAAAACGATATCTAGCCTGTGACCTAGAGATACTGTCTTGTCATAAGTCTTTTTGAAAGCAGTCAGTGCTCCTTCCTTGTCGCCGATCCTGCAAAGATGTTCAGCTTTCTTTAGATTGGCTTCTCTAACTTCCATCTCTCCCAAATTTTGATCAGCATCTTCGATAATACGGTCGAGCTCCTTCAACTGCTCCTCGTTCTTTGCCTTCATTTGGGCTAACAGTGCCTCATCTACTTCCCAATCAAGGTCACGACAGACTTCTTCGTAGAACGGAGCCATGTCTACATGAAAAACATTTATGGTACAATTGTATTTAGAATAAAATTTCTAAATGAGAAAATGTTTCAACGCATGTACGAGACATACAAAAATCATAATATTTGAAAACAATTTATCACAACAATCATACAGACAACCAATAAAAAAAATTTAGAGGTTAAATTAACGCTATGTAAACACCCTCTTAAACTCACGAAATCCTCATCGTTAATCGCGGATTTTTGCTAATTCTTTTATTAATCTAACTCATTGGCATCATCCAAATATTGCACGAGCATAAAAGCAATCAATAAGTGCTTAAAGAACTCTACAAAAAATGCCATCTCACTTTCGGTTTTGATGATAACGAGCAGCTTGGTCTTGAGGGCCGTGTCGTTTTTGTGCTCAGGTAGACTGAGTAAATACTTTGTCTGGGCGAGCTCGAGTTTTGGGTTCTTCTCCAGACCCTCCTCTTCGAGATTTTCCAGCGGCATTGTTTATTTTAATTAATCTTTAACTTTTCTACACAAAAATAACACCACACAATCACCCGAAGCACGAAAGTCTTTGCACGGCTTCGAGTGTTTCGACTTTAATGTGTTCCATGACTAATATTGCCCTACGCTCACAGCATCGATCTATTTTGGAACGTTTCGAATTATGATGCGCACGCGCGCATATGTGAAGTAATTTTAAAACTGTACCTATCTAAATTAAGTAAGTATAAGACTTATACACATTTTTTTCATTAATAATTTATTAAAAATTTGTTCGATCGATTTGCAACTGCATCAAACGTTGTAGGCACACGGCATGCATTTACGTAGAATTTAAATTTCGGAACATTACAAAAGCTATTTTCCCATTGGCTGATCGAGTGACCACAACTTTTCTCATTGGTAAATTGCAGACTTCGTGGATCGCGAATTAAGTTCAATAGTATGTATGCTTTGAAATTTGTTTAAAAGCTCATTGCCATTCAGTTTATACTTAATTTTACGATAAATATTTCTAGAGAATGGTTATTTTATTAGAAATGACATACTTTAATATTACTGGATGTATACGTTATTACGTGCAAGCAATTGTTGTTTAAAATGGGTCGGATAATTATCTTCGTCAGTCAAGAAAATTCATGTCGCTTTGAACAAAAAAATGTTACCAACGTCGTATTAAAGTTTGTAGGTACGATTTTTCCTTACCTTTTTTTTCTTACGATTATAAAGTTAAGGACGTTCGGTAGAGATAGAACCCTGTGATGAATCTTTTTGAAATTTTAACCAGACTTTCTTATTGTTGTTACAATGAAGCTGTTACAATTTCAAGTATCTCATGTATACTCGTGTAAAACAGTAGTCCAGTACATATTTAATTTCATGTTACTTTTAATTGGTTAATACAAACTCGTTACATACATTCGCCTAGAAAAAACATTTTTATTCTCGATGATAATTAATTACAATAGCGAAACTTGACAATTCTTTTATCAATAAATTTCTATAATTAGGATACATATGTAATTTATTTTGAAATTTAATTCAACACAAATATTTTACATAGGATGGGGAGAGGATCAAAATGAATGACAACATAAACAATTTTTATTTATACCTTCAAAATAAGTTTTTATTAAAAATAATATCTTTAAAAAGTATACATACACAGTGCTGGCCCTATTTAGTTCCTTTGATATAATAATAAAACTCGTGTTGTGCTTGGATGGACGTTAATTTATCAAGTCTTAAGAAAAAAAAAAAATTCTTAGAAATACGTATCACAGCCCAACATTACTAATTTTTGTACTTGCAATCAGCCTCCTTGGTAAATGTAGTGCGGAAGATGAAAATTATCTAAAAAAAAAAACGACAAAAACAAAAAGCCAATTATGCCGACTTACCTCTAAAGAGGTTGACTGATGGATCATAGTCTAAGCATGTTGTTGAATTGGATTCTTGATCTGAACCATTGACCAGAAATGAATGAAAATGAAATATGAATTATTATTATAAGGAAAAGTAATTAACAGTTCTCATAACTTTTATGATTAACAAATTCTTTCGGATAAAAATTGTTAACGAATGTTATAAAAAAAATTTTAATATCCGTGTTACTTTGTTAAAAAGTGTAAGAGCAATTAACTTTTATCCAAAACAATTACAAATAATTAAAGAAAATGTGGCATGTTACGTATTACTAAATAAGATTAGGAAAACATTGTTAACGAATGACTTTAAAAAACTATAAAAATTTATAAATAGATCAATTTTTTCAACGAGTATACACTTCAGGAAATAATTCAAGAGTAGAAATGTAATGATAATTATTGTTTAATTGTTAACATATACTCAAATGAAGTGGTTTATATTAAATGGCCAAATATTTGCTCCATGCATGTTTGATGTTACCCTCATTTACATGGAATTCTATTTTAAATGAGATGGGATGAAATTAGTTAGAGCAGCCACCACCGAACATCCCCATATCCATATGAGACTTCAAGTTAAGATTATTTTGCGGTATTACTTGTTTTAAAAAATATTGCGCGGAGCTAATACTTAGGGCTTTCTTGCAATGATCAATGATAAAAAAAAATATTCCATATTTTCTCCCCTTGGTCTGATTTTGCAGCCACGTTAAGCTTTTACTATTTTAAATCTAATATCTTTCAGAGTGCTTTGGCCTTATTTTCGTGCGAAACATGCTCGAATTGTATCATGAATCTGTTTGTTATATAAAAAAAAATATCACTCTTTTAAATGATTTTACGACTAGCGTAAATTTCTGTAAAAACTACTCTCTTTTTTTAGCTATCTATAAATTCTTGGGTACATTATACGTTTTTTTTTCCTCTTCAAAATTATTCTTATTATTGTTCTACTATACAGCATACTAATATCATAGATAAAACTGGTTTTTTTGTAAGCAGAATCACGATGACAGCAAATAATTATGATCTTCATTGATCCTGTTAACGATTGGCATAAAAATAACAGCCAAAGCGCTCTGACCATAAATGCTGTTGGCTGCACAAGTCTTACCCGAATATGGAATCTGGAAAAATTACAGGATAGGCAAGTACCTAAATATTCGTGAAAAAAAAGAAGGGAATTCCAACTTTAAATAAATATTGATAACTTATTTTTAAAACACGGTAATGTTATCATGTAATGAAGAGACAACAGTTATCATAAACCAAAATAATAATAATTAAAGTAGAACATAACTCAATAAAATGTGGGAATTTATCAACTTTTATTATTATTTTTTTTTTATACATTCAATAAAGAAAACAAACTTATATGTTAAATGGTTCTATCAACCCTGAGTGTTATATACCATAATTATAAACTATAGATCCTCCTACCTGTTTCAAACAGAAGCTAGCTAGAGTCCCTTAACTCTGCTATACCTGCCTGATGTACTTTGTTTTCTTACTTATTCATATGTATGACTCCATCTTATATTGCTAAGCTGCTGATTACTGACAAGAGAAGTAGTTACTGATACGATAAGAAATAAATAACCAAACAAATGTTTCTTATTCCATATATTTACAATTAGTTCAAGTGCTGAACGTACAAAATAAAACTAATATAACTAAATATTGACGAAGAGACGCTTACATTCCTATTGACAAAATTTGTTTTGACTAACAAAAAGTGGATGGAAATTTATGTTTATTATCCTTGTACATGATCTACAGTGTTGGTCGCTTTTCTCAGATTATTTCAAAATTGAAAGTTGATGTGAAAAAGTACAAGAAAGACATAATGTGAAAAATTTAGACATTTTTGAAGACTTGAAACGGTTTTTTAAGCCTCCTACGTTATAATAATTTTATTTGTGACGTGAACAATACTTTTAAATAGACATGACTTGTTGAATAGTAATAGCAAAAATTACGATTAGAAGTATAAGGTCAGTATAGTTACTAAACAGAAACTAAACAAAATAACGCTATTTCGGTTTGGGTAATTTGTTTTGTATTTCGAGTTTGTAGGTAACCTACAAAATTTTTTTCAACTATTATGAGTTACCAAGAAAAACATTGTTAAAGATGTGATTGTGATTGTCACAAAGTTAAATGAATAAACTTAATCACGACCTTTTTACAATTTTTTTAATTTTCAAATTATTACAATTACAGTAAAAAACGCTATTATTAAAAAAATGTATGAAGTATCAATTTTTAAAAAGCTAATTAATTACAATGTACAACTTGTAAGTCAACTCTTACAGTTAACTCAATGGTTCAACTTCATTGGTAAATTAATGAGCTTAATAGAAGCAGTTGAATAAAGGTACTTGTTTAATCAAATACAAAATTCAGTTTGTTCACAGATTAATATTACAGAATACAGTTCAATTAAGTCTAAAGTTTATTTTATCATCATCGCAGGAAATAGTGCAGCCATTTTGTGTACTGGTACATGCTCAATCAGTTAATTTATACTTATTTTGTCAACTAAGTAAAAAATGACTTTTTTTCCTATAGTATTATAAAAAATTATAAGTTCTCATGAAAACCATACTTTGAAACAATGGTCTGCTTTTTAATTCTATATTATTCGTTTTTGATCCAAAGCACCTCCCCACCTCTCTTACTCTGACTGTCTAAGCTTTTCTTCCTGTAACTGGCCTGCCTGTGGGAGTTTTTTCAGTCCTGCCTGTTTATTCTGTCTCACTGATTTTTTCTCAACAACTCAATTCTTCGCATCTTTTTTTTTTTTTCATTCCTGTCCTTCTAGCCTGCATTTCTCTAGCCTGAATGCCTGCCTGCGTTATTTCTGCCTACAGTATCGCAGTACTGTACTGTTATGCAACTAGTGGACAAGAAGTAGAATGGGTTTCACCTGAGGTTTAAAAGTCAAACTAGTTAGTTATACATGTTTTTTCATATATCTTACAAAAAACGACAATATTATAGAAACTAATTTAAAAATAGGGTGCGTACACGTAAAGAAGTGGGAATAGCCTCCTGTCTAATTTAATAATTTGTCAAACGTTAAATATTATTTCTACTTTCTATTAATTGATTCTTCATTTATGTCTATGTGAAACGAACTCGACAAATTATTAATCTCCAAAATCTTTAGCATGCGTATATTTTGAGTCATAAAGGAAACTAAAAAAAAAATCTACAATTTTTTGCTTAAAGGATGGAAATAGCGAGTATGACTAAAATAATTTGAACATTACAAAGTACATATTTTTTGCCCTCTTGATGTATTTGATAAGATTCTTAGTAATATTGATTGTGCAAGATAAATTTTTGTTTTGTTAGCACCATGAAATCAACAATACTAAATTTTTTTTTTTTTTTTAATTGAAATACTGTTTAATTATAGTTTTTAACTGACAATGCTAAAATAATACCTATCCAGGTAGAAACTTTAACTTTCAACTTTTACTGTCAAAAATGATTTACTTTTACACAATTAGCTATCAAGTATTTGTTATTTCTTTAAATCTTTAAAAGCTGTAGCAGAAGAGGATTTTGGAAAGATTGAAAAAAGCAACTTATTTGTACCTTCCTTCACCTCACAGAAAAGAAATAAATTTGTAGTTAACTGTTTAAGGAGTATTATAATTTTTAATAATCAAATGGCTATGGCAACATACAAATGTCAGAAAATAAATGGTTTACTAACTATATCAATCCTTCTCTAGTAAACTTCTTGTGCTTTAAAATAATAATCAATTGCTCGGCAATTAAAATTTTTTGAGCCTATTTGGGAAACTTTCCTGAGATATTGAACTATGATTAATATTTAAAAGGTCTCAACAATGAAACGTAGTGAAGAGAACATGAAAAACGTGAACGAGGTAACAATTATTTGCTTTTCATTTGCAAAGGATCAATAAACAGAGTAATTGAAAAAAAGTTAAGGTCAAACATAGCATTGGTGGAAAGGTTATTAAATTTCAAGTATTTTCAATTTACTAGCCTTTCTACCAGAGCTCTCTACTTCAATATACATAACTATATTAATCAATCATTAAAGTAGGTAACTTTGCATACCGTTTCAGAGAGGAGTGGAGAGATGATTTCGGTAATCGGCTTAGTATCTTCTTCCTCCACCTCCGCCGCCTCCCATTCCACCGCCGCCACCCATGTTACCTCCATAATTACCCTGGTTGCCACCACCGCCACCGCCGTAGCCACTACCACCGCCGCCGCCGCCTCCACCTGATCGACCACCTACGGGTTATAGGCTTTAACGTCTTAAAAAACTCTTAATAATATATATTTCACGCCACAACATTCAAGAAAATAATTTACTGAAATGTCTTGTTGTAGAAGAAAAGATTGTATGTTTAAATAAATATTTTCATATTTAAAAAAAATATAGTTTTCACTCACCATAGGGAGCCGACCGACCACCGGAGCTATAGTTGCTTCTGACGGGACCACCACCGTATCCTTGTTGGTAGCTACCACCGAAATTATCATTGTTCCAATTTCCGCTGTTACCACCTCCACCACCGCCGCCACTGTTGTAACCATTACCACCGCCAGGGCTATTCCAAGCGCCTCCACCACCACCACCGCCGCCACCTGATATAACGAGTTGAATAATGTAAAATTTTACTCTTACACATCAATAAATTATTAATTCGATGAAAAATCTGAAACATTATCCATACCCTGGTTTTGGCTTTCCCAGGGTCCGTTGTTTCCTCCACCCCATTGGTTACCACCACCGCCACTTCCATAGTTACCGCCACCACCTCCATTTCCACCCTGGTTCCAGTCACCACCGCCGCCACCGCCACCACGGCCTCCCCAACCACCACCACCGCCTCCTCCTCCGCCGCCTTGGTTGTTACCGCGGGGGCCACCACCTCGGCCACCACCGCCGCCACGGCCACCACCACCTCCACCAGAGGCCATCTCCGCTTTGCTGAGTGCCTTCAAAAAAACAAGGAAAAAAAATTAGTCAAATAAATCAAACTGCAAACAATCAATTGCAAGTACGTGTATTGACAGAGATGTACGCACTTTCTTGACGTCAACGGACTTTCCGCGGATAGTGTGGTTGCGCTGGAGGCAGATCTTGTCGACGGGATCGTAGTCATCAAACTCGACGAAGCCGAAGCCGCGCTTCTTGCCGGTGTCCTTGTCGGTGACGATGCTCACGTCGACGACATTGCCGTAGTCGGAGAAGTACATCCTGAGGTCATCCTCCTCGTGGTCGTCCTTAATACCACCGACGAAGAGCTTCTTGACGGTAGCACCGGCCTCCGGCTTGCCAATCTCTTGCCGTGGCACTGCGCGCTTGGGCTCGACGACGCGTCCGTCGACACGGTGGGGCCTCGCGCTCTGGGCATCGTCGACCATGTGGCCCCGGGAATAGGTGATGAAGCCAAAGCCACGGGAGCGCTTGGTCTTGGGGTCCTTCATGACGACGACGTCCACGATATCACCCCATTGCTCGAAGTGCTTCTTCAGTGAGTCATCCGTGGTCCGGTAGTCCAGCCCACCGATGAACAGCTTACGAACGTGCTCCGGTTCGGTTGGCTTCTCCGAATGCTGGTGCTGGTGTTCATCATGCTAGAAGTAAAAAAAAAAAGAAACTTTATTTAAAATACTGAATTAACCAAACAGAGAGTAATATTAATGCAGCACTATTTTATCTAACCATTTTCGGTGTTGATCAAACAAACGGACGAGCGAAGAATCGATTTACCGGAAAGCCGAAAGAAAGTTACTCCAACGGAGTCCCACGACGGAATGGACGCGGTATCGACTGAAAATGGCCGGCTTGGGCTCTCTCTCTCTTCTTGGGGCTGTCTCCCCCACCCCCTATTTTTTCCCCGGAAAAATTGAATCACGGGATGCTCCTCCTCTACCGTTCGTGTGTTTACCAACGCAAATGAGCGGAATAAAAGAATTTTCGCACGATTTTTCAGGATTTCTCACGCAATTACGGAATACACGCACACACGACGAGCTATCGTTTTCGGAGCACGAGGGGAAGGGACGGGGAGAAAGGTTGACGCGCCGCCATGATTGTACTCTCTCCGCCAGGGAGCGTCGGTGACGCCGACATTTTTTCTTTCTTTTTCCCTGCTATCTCGCGAGTTTTCAACGTTAAATTATACGTAAATATTACGCGGTGTTACGATACCGCATGACAATCGACGTCGTGCAGTGCGCGAGAGATACTCGACGAGAGTTGACAGTTGACAGGGGGTTAAACGAAGGCAAAACAAACTGCGGCTTACCTCGTGGCCCTCCATCTTCACCATCTTTGATGAAGCGTTCCGGTTACCTGCTGATCGCCGCGTTGCGAGGCCTTCGGTTCCGTGAGAGTTTTGTCGAAGAAAGGGCCAAACGCAATGTGACCCACGTTGTACCTACGTCGAGGGATCAAGGGTAAGTTTATCCAAACCGAACTGTACTTATTAGACGCCGATCCAAACTGAGGCCGAGAGCCGAGAGAAGAGCTGCCGCATCGATTTTATTTTCTCCAAATATATGTTTGATGAAGAAAAAGAGAGAGTGAGAGAGAGAGGGGTGGCAAGTTAACCGGAAGTTGTGTGTGGCGATGAGAGACCGGCTACTACGTGAGTCGGAGTACGGAAGCAACCAAAGGCGCGTGCGCGCGTGGGGGCGTGTGCGATGTCGTCGATGCCATACATGTGCATATATTTAATTTTTTTTTAATATGGCACTAAGTGCTGGGATCTGCTGCCATAAGCAGCATCCAACTGTTGGTGTATATGTCTTGTAGCCGGGGAAATTTAAAAATCATTCAAGGTTGGAAACCCGGAAGTGTATATAGGTATACGAGAACTCGATAGGACTCTATTTTTTTTGCACGTGTAGTGTGTATGGATACGTATATATTTTTTTATTGTTGACAAACACAACTCCTTCGGTGTTTGTTATGATTTATACTTGTGTAGAGTTCATGGTTTCTATAAATTAATTTTAACGAGTATATATAATGCTGTGTGTGGATGCACACCTATAAGTACTACAAAGAGTATTAACCCCCCGGGGGCCCCCCAGGTAACTACGTTATAAAAGTATAACCTACAACCGCGGCTGTGCGCTCAACCAGTCATGTTAATTGATATTGTTAATTTTTTTGTCATTTTTCTTTGCAGTGTCTTTGAAAGTAATAATTTTATTTGTTATTGACACCAAAATGGATAAGAAAACTCGTAGCAGTAACAATAACAACAACAATGGTATGAAACCTCATGGTTTTAAGAGACAACTTGAGGCAGATAAAATCATAGGAAGTACCAAATCAAACGGGGAAATATTATTTCTAATGAAATGGTCAGTAAATAGTTGTTTCTTCATTTGATCGTTTTTATTAAATACGATGTATCATTTGCCTTGTATTTTAGGAAAGGGACAGAGGAGATTGATCTTGTCACAGCAAAAGAGGCTAATAAACTTTGTCCTCAAGTTGTTATCAAATTTTATGAGGACAGGATGACGTGGAAGCTGACATAATGCTCAGTGTTACCATTAGGCTAGTACTTTTTTAATTCTTGAATAAGGTTCAGAATTATACTACTTACTTTTTAATTTCTTAAAAAAATTTTTTTTTCTCTACCATGAAGTGATTTTAGTTTGACTCAGTTTTTTACTCTGATACTTTTTTATTGATTTTATTTATAGCAACATTGATTTGCCGTACAATTTAGAAAATAATTTCAAGAGTGAAAAATGAAACTCTAGTCTTCTAACATTACTTATTTGATAATGGTAAATTGAGATATTATTTTTTTAAACTTGTAGAATAAATTTGTTTATGATATGATAAAGATCATGTTAGTGACATTTTTACATGTGTATTTAAAACAACTCTAGCAACTTGTAACATCAAAAACGTTTGTTATAACATTTAAATATAATATTTATAACTGTGATAAAAGCTTTCCAACAATAATAACTATATATAATTGTTGCGATTTAATAAGAATGTTCAATTTAGAATTGTTTTTAGTCCATATTGATAGAATGAATAATTTAAGGAAAAGTTTTCTACGGTATTTAAATAACAATCGTTTGATATAATTTAAGAATGACATTGACAAGATTGCTTCTTTGTAAATATTTATTATTCACGGAAAATCTTTAAATGCCATAAGTAACGCGACTGATAAAACTATACTATACACATTTTTTATACAAAATGTTTGTTTATAAAAACGTAAAAATGTTACTTATAATATATTAATATATTTATACATACATCCGCAAATCATTTATCACAAGTGATTAGCATTTATCCACAATTTAACAGTATACACATATAATACAGCAATTAATGTAACTATAGGTCTGATATCTTCAAAATGTGTAATTGTACAGTTGAAGTTTATTTGTAATTTTATAGCAATTAAAGAAATAAAAGTATTAAAAATTAATTTTTATTTTTTATTGTAACAAAAAAACTTTTATCATAAACAAAAATACTGCTGGGCTTCAAAAAAGTTTATAGTGCTATTAAATTTTTGATTTGCAATTTAAATGCCTAAAAAATAAAAATATGCTCTCAGCTTCAAATTACTCATTCCTGACGATCTTGTGATTTTAAGGATTCTGTAATTCTGCGTCTCCAATGCGTGTAATGATTATGTTTCGTTGCTTCTGTTTCGTAGGCCGTTTTATTTTTACATTCAGTCTTGGTTCTCTTGTTTTTATTTGTTAAATTTTTTTCGTCACAAGAATTTTCCATACCACTGTTTTCAAGGGGGATACTAGTTCCTTTCATGTCCGTATCTTTTTGCCCCAACTTTTCTGACGGTTGTCTCTATAAAATATTATCAATGAAAAAAAAGGTCATTCAGCTACACTGAGTAAAAAAATTTTTTTTTTTTTTCAATTACCAAAGACACTATTGGTGAACTTTGGGAACTTAAAATTGGATTCCGTTTCGTGATGATTTTTGGCATGAACCTTAATCTTGGAGCTGCCAATTTCTTGACTACTTGATCCGGCCCCGAGTCGCCGTTTTCCAAGGAACTTTTTTTAATAACAACTAATTTGTCAAACTCATTTTCCGGATGCTGATGCTTAATGTGCCGCTTCAAGTTATCCTTTCGACCGAAATTTTTGTCGCATTTTCTACAGGAATACAGTTTTTCGTCAAAATGACAAGTGGCGTGACGTTGAACCTCGGATTTGCTTAAAAATACTTGGTGGCAGTGCTCGCAAGGAAAAGGCCTGTTATTTTCGTGTATTTTTTTGTGCCGCTTTAACAGATATTTCGTTACAAAATTTGCCGGACAAACGTCGCATTTGTGCGGTCTATTGGCTGAAAATTTCGGAAACAATGTGAATGATATTTTTAATTTTTTTTTATTTTTTACATCATACTCACGAGAATGGAAAAGTTCGTGGCGTTTTCTATTGCAGTCGAGTGTAAAAGTTTTTGTACAAAAACTACATTTTAGAATCCTTTCTTGGTGAATAAGTACGTGAAGCTTCAAGTAATCCTTGGAATTGAACTTCTTGCCGCAGTCATGGCATTCAACTTCGTTACCTGCAAGAAAAAAAAATCTGCCAATTAATTGTCACAAAGTTTTTTTTACCAACGATTACTGCTATTTTTTATTTTTTTCTCTCGATAAGTTATATATTTTACTCTGTGTGCAAGTGAGGTGAATCCCTCATTTTTCGGGACTGAGTGTTAACGTTTTTACGAAGTAAAATTAGTTCAATCGCCCGCCGTTGGCGAAATTTCGAGACTTTTCCATAAGAAACGTGTTAAAAGTGACTATTAGCGCCAATTCCCCATTGACTCGCACACGGAGAATACAATTATCAAAAATAGGTACTATCTGGAATTCATTATTCATTCGCTTACATTATTTATAGTGCATTATTTTATTATTACTTTAACGTCCTAAATTTAGGATTAATTGTGGTTAAATTTTGGTCAGAAATTTATTAGAATGTGTTGTTTAATTTTTAATATATTGCAATGTAACTTGTGGGAAAACATTTTTGTTCATTCACAACTTGTTTTTTACCTCTTAATTTATTCATACTTTTATTCACTTATTTTTTTGATACTTTTTAGTTTTATTTAATATTTCAAAACACACGAATGTACTTTTTTATTTTATTTTTATTTTTTATTGTTAAATATTTCTCTATCATTTGAATTCAAACTATAACCGATCGTAACTCATCAGAAAGTAAAAGAAAAGTTCATAAAGTATAATTTGTACAAAAATCGACAATTTTTAAATAAAAAAAAAATTTCTGAGAACGTTTAAATATAAAATATATTTAAAAAAACTTACGGTCGTGAACGCAAGTGAGGTGTCGAAGCAGCTTATTTTTCTGAATAAATCGCTTTTTGCACACGTCACACTCGTAAGGCTTTTCACCACTGTGAACCTTTTCGTGGTACTCAAAGTGCGTGCGTTTGGTAAAAATCCGACCGCAGCCTTCAAAAGTACATTTAAAAGGCACTACTTCGAGCCGGCAGTGATCGACTTTCCCTCGAAAGTTCTTAAATTTTTTTCGCTCACTTGAGCGTTTTTTGCATTTAGACATTTTTCTCTTCATCGGTCCATCTATGATTTTTCTTTTCCGTGGTTTTTTCTGTCTATTAACGCTGTTGCTTACCCTACAATTTGTTTTTTGAGTGGGAACTTGGAATAGGTTTTTCATTGTGCAAGAAGCTTTCGTTAAATTATCAATACTTTTGTTACTATTAAAATATTTGGTTGGATCAACTCTTTTATTAGATTCGTCATTATTTTCTTTATCTTCGTGTACTTCTTGTAAAATACACGTTGATTTTTCATGATTACTTTCTATCACGATTATCGCAGGGTTCGATTCGCAACTACCTTCTGGAATCGAATTTGTCGGTTCAACGTAATCGATCATAAGTTGTTTGTTTGTTGTTGATGCATCTGTAAACTCTGAGACAATGTAATTACTCAATTCAGTCAGTTCCCCATTGTTGTTCAGTACATAACATATGGTTTCGAATTGGCATTCTTCAATTGCAAAAGGCTTGTGCGTGGGTGACTTTTTTGATATTATTAAACAATCGGATCGAAAAAAATGTGGACTTTTGTTGTTGAAATACTGGTGCGGGCTTTTATCTGGTTGATCGACGTCTGAAAACCTATTTGGGGATTTTATCACTATGTAATCACTCAATCTGAATTCTGGACTTGGACAACTTTTGTACTGACTGTACGGATTGTTGAATATCAAATAATCAAGAATACTGAATTCCGGGCTTCTACAGCTGCTTGGGTGACTAGGAGACCTAACAATTTGATTACAATTATGGTTATCAGCGTCTTCTCCTTCATTTTCCGTGCTATCACGATCTTCATCCGTCACAACTGATGGATAGTTACGATTTTCGGTAATTGTATTATTGAGCTCGATTGCAGCAACAGCGTGATAATTTTCATTTTCGTGTGTCTCTAGATTTTCACCAGTAATTTCAGTTATAGTCAGTGTTTCTTCTTCGCTGTGTGTATTGTGACGGAAGTCGTTGATAAGTATTATTTTTTGTGCGGAATGATTGATATTATCGATTGATTCGACCGGCAGTAAATTATCTGAAAAAAGTTAAATCACGTTAAAGGTTTTTTTTTTTCCTTGCAGTTTAAAATTCATAAAAACAATTTTTATAAAATTACTTGATGCGTGAATACATTGCAAGCTATCCGATAGCCGACTTTGGCAAATGCTGCATCCATTGTCCTCCTTTAGAAGGCACATGCGACATTTCACATGGCCACATGAGTCCCTTATCAGTCTTGTGTTTGGTTGAAGGACGGATTGTCCACAAAGAGGACACTCTTCCATTGTGCAATGTTATTATTCAAGCGCTTTGCGATCGCTTTGGAAATTCTGGTGTGGTCATACTTTCTGCAAAAAATTTTACTATAAAAACTAAAAAAAAATATTAGATAAACGTATACAGTAAACCATTATCAAAGACTCTGACTCACCCGTTTTATGGATGGTTTTAAAGTAACATTTTTTGTGCTCGACCTCGTAGTTGTGGGAAAATCACAGCACTGCCGCTATTTATCGGCTACATTGAACCTATTTGTATACGATTGACGCGTATAGACACACGACGAAGAAAAAAAAAAAAAAAAAAAAACAAGGTGGCGCTTATCGCAATGTTTTAAACAGTGACCTAGGTTAGGAAGCAGTTTATGTAAGGTTAAGAGCGTATATTTTTATCTTTCCTGAAAATTTATTGTTGCTTCGCATGCATATACTCACTTGGTCACGTTAAGCTTCGTATCAAAGGTCAACCGTCTTCTAACGTATGCATCTTTTCGGCTCGTGTCTTCCACATTTGACTTCAGAACACACCCTCCAATGCTCCATAATTTTTTTTTTTTTACTAATCAAAGCGTTCATTCAAATTCCTCCGACTTATCCTTAAAATAAAAAAATTTAAAAAAATTTCGAACAACATAGAAGCTATGCATCATCGAGTAAAGGCTGTATCTCTTTCTAATGTGATATTTATATCGATTACTTACTCCGCACTCATCCCATACTCTTGTGCTTTTATATTGTTAAATGCTGAAACTTGATGATAATTAAATAACCCCTCACTTTTTTCCACCCCCCAAGTGAAGGCCCTTTTTACTTTAATATATTAACATCCCAAAAGTCTCAAGCCTTTTCATGTAGTTTCATTTTCGCTTCCTCTCTACAACCAAAGACAAGGTCACTGTCAATGCTCGAGGTCAAAAACCATTGTTATTATATACTTGGCGTGGCTATGGGGGTCCCTTCCACACTCGACACATCCTTTTAATAAGTACAACATCTTGCGCGCCCCGCGCACAAATTACTGTAAAAAAAAAAAAAATGTACCCGCCATTGCTAACCTCGAGCGCATGCGTCAATTTTACTATTATTTGATAGTTGTACTTGTTCAGTGTTGTTGTGTCACTGGGCTAACCTTCACAAGAAAAATAGTTGCAATTGTTGATAATATTGTATCGCCAAGTCGCGCCGTTTTGATTGTTCGGGGGCAACGGAAAGATGTCCGGAAATCTGCGTAGAGAGGTGAGTTTGGTTTTCAATGGCAATCGTCACAAATATTTTACCCATCGAATATTTGTATTCATCGTTTTTCTCAAGATTACACGTCTTTTTTCGCATAATTTTTATGTCTTGTGTAGCTATTAGCTTTACAATTTTACCTTATCCACTTGCAATACTGTTACCTCCTGCTACATTGTTTTTCAGGCTCTAAGCGCCTTCAAAAAATTGCACAGAACACGTTTGAAAACTTTTCAAGGAGACGATCATGCTCTGAAAGGTAATTTCCAAACTTAAGATTAACACGTCAAAAGTAACTTTGTTACAGTTATACTAATTTTGTAGCCATTAGGCATAAAATAAACGAGGAATTCGGCAAAAACAAAAACTTGACTGATCAAGCAGCTATTCAGAAGGTATGAGAGAATTGAAAACACGGTTTTTTCCATGAAACGCTTGAGCTACGTTATTAAACAGTGGATTCGTTGTTGCAGCTTATAAAATTGGCACAAGATGTGGAGCGCGAAATAAGAACAACAGTCATTCAAATTGTTGAGAAAACATCTGGACGATACGGTATATGAAGCTACACTCATCCTTGAGAAAATTAAATTCAAGCAATATTAACAACGACTAATTCTTTTTTTTTTTTTTTTTTTTTCGTAGAAGCGAAAATTACCGCGGACACTGTTAAAGTGGACAACGCCACGTTTGGGGAACTTTACGACAAGTCAGAGTTCAAACAGGGAGGCAAATGTTGCGGTGGCTCCGCAAAAAAAGGAGATAAAAAATGATCTCGCATCCACACGCACTACACGTCGATGTAATATATGTAAATATTTTATCGTGCAATTAAACCCCAAAATCATTTTTGTAGATGATGTACATAAAAATATCGGAATGAATGAAAAAAAAAAAAAAAAGATACAATCCAATTTTTCGGCGTATTTTATTTACAAGTTTGTTTTGTATAATTCATTAAATCGCACGGCGCGTATATTTACATTTTTTTAAATAATTTTTTTCCTCTAATATCGTGCGGATTTACATGCGTGGGTGGTCACTGTACACACAATTGCTTTTTACTCCTATTTTTATATACACTTATATATATCACATGAGCATCGATACATAGCCGGGAGAGCGATCGGTCCGAGATGGGTTGGTTTACTCGTCGGTTAGTCGCCAGCGACAGCTTATTTTCTCGCTCTGAAAGAAATGTTGGACAATACATGAATTTTGACAGTACACGAGTTAGTTTTTTTTTTTTTTTTTATCGAGTCGTTAATGCATACACGAGACACATTGTTATTAATCATCGCAGTTGAAGGCAGTGACGTATCGTTACGAAAAATCGAAAATTAATTCACTTGAGCATCTTAAATCTATCCGTCTACCTTTAACTGCATAAAAAAAAAAAAAAAAAAAAGAAACGATTATTAGTAGTTGGAATGTTATACACTTGGATGGGACGTGAAAAGGAATGTGGTTCTTGGCGATTTGGACGAGGAACGACATGGTCACAGGTACAGGTTTTTAGGTTGAAATCTACGAAAAAACAAATGAATCGTTACTACGATGAATGAGAAAAAAAAAAAAGCTTAAGCTCGACGCACGTCTAAGAGTTTCCTAATAAGCGAATCTACGGGAACGCGTTTCTCGTGCAGGTATAGAAAATTATTTGTGATTGGAAAAGCTGTCGGAGAAGCGAAAAAAAAAAAAAAAAAAAAAAAAGTTCTCAGTCTACGCGTCAACGGGTTTGTCGAGGCCGGTCTCGCAGTGAAAGGGCCGGTTGAGGTTGAAGGAGATAACGAGCTTGAGCTTGATGCGGTCGGGTGCGATATAGGCGCCGGGAGTTGTTGGTGTTGTTACGCACGGCTCGGGCGTGTTGCGGATCTGGTCGATCAGGTCCTGGGGCTTGAGCTCCTTCGTGCAGATGCGGTGGACGGCGGTGAACAGCGGGAACTGGTCCGTCTTGTTGCACCCCTTTAGCATACCGTTAACCTCCTCGGCGGTCGCTGGTCCTTGCAACTTTTGGCCGTTCAACATAGCGTCTTCCAGCTCCTTGATTGTCTGCGGGGATTTTCCAAAAAAAAAATCGAAAATTATTTTCTTATTCGAAATCGATTTTTTTATTTATTTATCTATCTCAAAAGGTTCATTCAATTTTTAAATTTATATATACATATATCTGTGTGTTTCCATTATCGTATACGATTGACGCGTATAGACACACGACGAAGAAAAAAAAAAAAAAAAAAAAACAAGGTGGCGCTTATCGCAATGTTTTAAACAGTGACCTAGGTTAGGAAGCAGTTTATGTAAGGTTAAGAGCGTATATTTTTATCTTTCCTGAAAATTTATTGTTGCTTCGCATGCATATACTCACTTGGTCACGTTAAGCTTCGTATCAAAGGTCAACCGTCTTCTAACGTATGCATCTTTTCGGCTCGTGTCTTCCACATTTGACTTCAGAACACACCCTCCAATGCTCCATAATTTTTTTTTTTTTACTAATCAAAGCGTTCATTCAAATTCCTCCNAATTCACCAATAAATTTAGATAATAATGAAGTTAGGATGATAATAGATTTCCTATGAGTGTTGGATTGATCGAGCTACTTAAAAAAAAAAACCTGATACAACCGGAAAAAAATATTATTACGATCATCATCTGCTGCAAAGGAGGACGCAATAGTTGTGTAGATTTTCAAACAAAGCAAAGTTTATTTCGCGTTACACCAAAAAGGCCAGTGCATTTTCTTTCTGTTGTTGACAGCTAAATTACGTTGTAATCGGTAACAAAAAAAAAAAAAAAATTTGAAAAAATCAGCCACGCGTTACTTGGGGTCCAAATCACGGAAGTAAATCGAAAAAAAGATAAAAAAAAAAAAAAAAATCACCTTGCCAGTCTTGACGAACTGCTCGCAAACCCTGCGATTCCTGCCGCCGTAGCAGGTGGTGATGAGATCGGCAACGCCGCAGCTCTCGAAGAAAGTCGTGATCTTGGAGCCGCCGTGGAAAGTGTCGACGTAGCGCACCATCTCCATGAGGCCCAACCTGATGACGGCCGCCTTGGTGTTGTCCCCCAGAGCGAGACCATCCACGAAACCGGCGGCGCAAGCTACGATATTCTTCAAAATTGCGAAAAAAAAAATTTGTAAAAAAAACCCCTCGCATCTCTCAACGATCGCGCACACACCCACACAGAGGGACTCACTTTGAGGGCGCCGCAAACCTCGACGGCCTCCGTATCCTCCACGACCGTAACTCGGAAGTTCGGACTCTGCATGCAGTCCTTCATGATCGCTCCCATGTGGGCGTCCTTGCAACCTAGAAAAGAAAAATTTTCGTTTCACCCGATCGATCATATATTAATATATATTTGTATGAAATTGATTGCCTTACCGATCGTGGTCTCGCAAAAGTGCTCCTCGGCCACCTCGTTGGCCAAATTGGCGCCCATGAGTACCGAGCAGGGGATCTTGAGCTTCTCCTCGATGATCTTGGAGATGAGCTTGATGCTCGTGCCGTCACCTTGGGCGAAACCCTTTGGAAAAACCACAATTTTGGTGAGAAGAAAAAAAAAAAAACAGATTTTTGTAAAGATAAAGGTGTACGTTACTTTGATCAAGGAGAGACCAACGGCGCTGGGCTTGATTTTGCCGAGCATCGCGGCACACAGGCCCGGGATGAACTGGTGGGGCACGACGAAGATGAGGATGTCGGCGTCCTTGGCTGCCTCCACGACGTCGGGCACTGCGACCTTTAGCGGGGGAGAGATAACACTATAGAGAGAGAGAAAAAAAAAAATCGCGCATCGGATGAAGGAATGTCAGCGAGTGGTAATTGTTTTACCTTGGGGGGAGAGGAGTATGCGTAAATAGACGCCGAGAGATATTCGCATCGTTTTGCCGATCTCACTCGTCGCGTGGATTTGAATTGTTAAGCAGCCGCGGGTTTATTCTAGTCGCGCGTTTACCTTATACATGTATACGTGTGTACATTATACTAGCGCGCGATCTCAGCTATTAGTGCTAAACTGTTCAAAGAGCTTTGATTGCCTTCGATGCCACTCGGGCACGCATACTTTTTCAAAAGCTGAATGCGTCACTTTGTGCAGCATGAATGCATGTTTGTTGGAAAAAAATAATTTTTTACGATTTTAAAGAAAAAAGTAACTTGGATTTTTAAAACAAAAAGAGTTGAAATTTCGAAATATTTGATTTCAAATACTTTACACTGGCAAAACATTGAATTTATTGGACCAGAGAAAAGTGTCCACAATGATAACGCAATGTTTTTTCCATGCATCGTTTGTGCCTATAACATAGCGTTCGATCAAAGAAAAAGAGTTGAAACGTCCAATTATTTGATTTCAAATACTTTACAAAGACAATAAATTGCACTGGTTTGTTAGTATATATCGGTGCCCTCCGGTGAATTTGGAAATTCAAAGTAATCAGTGATCCGTTGAGGGCGAAATGTGAGAAAATAAATAAATACAAGTAAAGTGTATTTGAATTTTCTTGCGTTGATTTATTAATGGGCAACGTTTCGCTTACAATATGCGTCAGCTTCATCAGGCGCAGGTACGCGAGGATTCGTAAGTTTGGTTGACTTACTCGTCACCTGTCGTGCTATCGACTGACGTGCGTTTGTTTTTATGCTAACCGTAACGTGTAATGCATTATGCGCACGGATAGTACTTTCTATGATCAGAAGAAAAACTCAAAGTACTTGAACCAAAATTAAAAAAAAGTAATTTTAAACAAGTTTTTAAACCTGATCTTCAAACTTTATTCCACTCATATTTTTCCTAATTCGTTTGGGTTCAAAAAATAAAAACTCACTGACATACAAGTGTGTTGATATAAAACGGTTCGTATTCCCATTTTCTCAATTTTTTAACACAAAAACATTCTATCCAGTAGTTTTTTAAAAATATGTCTAAAATCTATACGTCAAATCTCTTTTATCGTGACAAATGTAGATTCAGAATGCATAAATATCTAATGCTTAGTAATTTGCTATTAAATACAAAGCATATTCACACTTTTTTCAACATTTTAATACTAAAAACTTCATTTTCAGTAGTTTTTTGTAGTTATGTTTAAAATCTGCACAGAAAATCTCTTTTATCATGACAAATTAACATTTAGAAGGCAACAATTTAAAGAGTTATGGTATTTGCGATACAAAACAGTCCATATTTAAACATTTATTTAACTTTTCACACTTAAGACTTCGTTCAATGTAGATTATTGAGAGTATATCAAAAATCTGCACGTTAGATCTCTTTTAATATGACAAACTCAGATTAAGAGTCTATAAATGCACGAAGGTACGGTATAAGTGATAACAAACAAGTTATATTTTTACTTTCTTAGAGCTCTTCATACTAAGTACCTCGTTTAAGTAGTTTTTTGATAGTATATTTGAATTCAGCACGTAATTTCTCATTCACTATGACAAATTAGGATAAAGCAGGCAATTTATTTTAAAGATAAAATATTTGTGATAGTAAACGAGTTATATTCTTACTTTTTTTGAGAATCTAACACTAAAAACTTAGTTTTCAGTAATTTTCTTTAATTATGTTTGAAATGGGAGCGTCATACCTAAATAATTACGACAAATTCAGATTCAGCAGAAACAAACCCATAAAGTTAGAATATTTGCGATGAGGAACAAATCATCTTCCCACTTTTTTTAAGCTTTTTATACCACAAACTTTGTTTCCAGTAGTTTTTTTTTAATACGTTTAAAATCTGCACGTCAAATCTCTTTAATCTTGACAAATTGAAATTTATCACGCATAACTATCGAGTGTTTAGGTATTTGCGATAGAAAACTATTTATACTTAAACTCTTTTCGAGCTTTTAATTCTAAAACCTTGGCATAAGTGGTTTTTTGAGGTTATGTTAAAAATCTGCACGTTGTTTTTTTTTTTGTTACGACCAATATCGATTCAACAGGCATAATTATATGAAAATAGAGTGTTTGCGATGAAAAACGAATAACTATTACACATTTTTCAAGATTTTAAATCTAAAAACTTCGTTTTTTATAGTTTTGAAGAATATGTCTCAAATCTGCACGTTAAACTGCTTGTATCATGACAAGTTTCGATTCAGCAGGCATGAATATGTACTGCTTATATATTTGTGACAAGAAACGAATGATATGCCAACTTTTTTTGAGCTTCTAATACAAAAAACTTCTTTTTCAGTAGTTTTTTGAGGTTTTGTTTCAAAGCTATCTGGTAAATCTCTTTAATTATGATAAATTTAGATTCAGCAGGCATCAGTTCATACAGTAACGGTTATTGCGATAAAAAATGAGCGATATCCACACTTTTTGAAGCTCGTTATTATGAAAATATTTTTTTAGTCGTTTCTTAAAAGAATGTCTAAAGTTTTTATGTCTAATGTCTTGTATTATAATGAAGTCAGATTTAGTAGACATAAATATGTGAAGTACGGTTATTGCGATAAAAAACGTATCATATTTAAGTTTTTTTTCCTGCTTTTTTTACCAAAAACTTTGTTTTCAGTAGGTTTTTGATAATACACCTGAAATCTGCACAACAAATCTCTTCTATCATGACAAATTTAGATTTACTAGGCATTAACTTAGAAAGTGAAGGTCATTGCGATAAAAAACAAATAATGCTTACACTGTTTTTGAGCTTATAGTACAAAGAACTTTGACTTCAGTTTTTTTTTTGAGGTAATTTACGAAATCTGTTTTTAAAACTCCTTACTTATAACAAATTCAGATTCAGCAGGCTTAAGTCAATGAAGACAATTTAATCGTGATGGAAAAGCAATTTTATTTACACTTGTTCTAAGCTTTACATACAAAGAACCTCGTTTTTAGTAGTTTTTTCAAAGTATGTCTGAAATCTGCACGCTAAAAATTTTTGAACTTGACAAGTATAAATTAAGCAGGCATAATTATATCATGCTTAGGTATATACGATGGAAAATGAAGTAACTTTTTTTTTCGAGCTTACAATACTGACAGCTTCGTTTTAAGTACTTTTTTGAGGTAATGTTTGAAATCTGCACGTTAAATCTCTTTTATCATAAAAAATTCAGATACAGCGATCATAAATATACAAAGAAACTGTAATTGCAATAAAGAACATACTATATTAACACTTTTNAAAAAAAAAAAAAAAAAAAAAAAAAAAAAAAAAAAAAAAAAAAAAAAAAAAAAAAAAACGTTATCGACATCATTTACATACGCGCACACACGCGTACGATTGTAATTTAATGATATTTCAAACGAGTTTCGTTGGCGTGTGATTTTACCGGTTATCGCCTGTAAATAACAAAAAAATCCTTATCGGAGTTGAGTGAAATCATGATTGAAACACTCGTTTTACATTGGCGTTCACGATTTCATCGGAAAAAATGTTTATTTGCTCACACTCAGCGGTGCAGTTTTTCGCGCTCGAATTTCGTACGTAACAATAGAGTACTGCAGTATCCATGTATACCCACGCGGTACTGTATAGGCCGTCGAGATAGAGCTACTCTCCAAAAATTTCATCGTAAATACACTCTAGATTGAATAACATTCAATAAAAGGATCTCTTGGTGAGTTTTTCCCGAGCTTTTCTAACATGAATGAAAATGCCCGTGCGTCCCACGAACTGAAAGCGCATTCCAACAACCAAGTCGACTCCAAAAACATCGAGACAACAACGCTACACTATCCCCTTGCCATGTATATAGGTACATCTTTCAGTCACACCGTGCACCGAAGGGAAATAAAAATACTGCAGCGCTGTATGGTGTCCCGCGTCCTAACCTCGAAGAAGAGATAAGCAAGAAAAAAAAGAACAAAAAGCTCTTGCTCCAAAACCGACAGAGAGAGAGAGAGAGATCAATTCGAACTCACCAATTGCCGGAGCCAACGATGCACACGCTTAGTTTATCTGTCATTTTTGGAGTTTGTTCCTCGGAAAACCTGCCTATTTATCGGTTTGTGTGCAGATAAGAGGAGAGGATATACAATAAGCAAGTTGGTGGTATGCTCCGAAATGTGAGGATGGATAGGAGAGAAAAACAGTGTGCGCGCGCGACGGTTACGAAGAACGAAGGACGACTGGAGAGTCTTGCGCGTCTACAAGCTAAGTAATGCGGGGGAGAGCGCGTGTATATTTGTGGCTCCACGTCTATACTTTGCTCTCTTTTATCATCGTTTGTGTATGAGTTGTTTTTTTTTTTTTTTTTTTCCTTCTACATTGGTGGTGCGCGCACACGTGCTTGCGCTCTTTCTCTTTTTCCGCTTCTTCATCAGCTGTAAAAGCTGGGGATGGATGGAAGAAGTGTGGAGCTTTTTTGTGCCCAACAGAACAGTGGAGCGCGGAAAATTCAAGCCAAGTGTCAGAGATAACATGTTGTTATTGAGTTGCAGTGGAAAATCAGCAATCAGATTTTTTTTTCTGATTGGAACCGTGTAACCTCTGAGACAGCTTTTGGGATTTACATCATTACATGGATGAATAAAGGAAAGTATAGTTCTGAATATCAATGAATTTGCCGGCTTGAAAAATTTGGATGATTTTGAAATGAAGTTACCGACTGCCGCTAGAGCGGGTTTGTTGGCTTATCAATTGTAAGTGATGTAGGAAACATTATTAATTTTAATTGCTTATCAATGAATGATATATATAACTACAAAGATTTCGTTTTTATCGCAACATACGCGTTTATTTTATATGTTATTATTGTTATTGTTTAATACACACAGATAGATCACGTACAAAATAATGTGACGCAGAAGTAGTTATAAATGAAAATTAGAGCTTACAAACTGAGTTTTTTTTTTTTTAACTTTTTAATTTTAGTAAACATACATACGGTTAAATGGCTGGAAAACATTTTTTTTTCTCGTATACAAGTAAAAATACCTGTATATTTGTTTTCTTGTTTAATAAGTTAAGATTTACTCGAAAGGAAAAATTGCTACTACGAGTTTTAGTAATGAAAAAAAAAAAAAAAAAAAAAAAAAAAAAAAAAAAAAACCGCGCAGTTACGGCGTTACGCGCAATTGAACGCTGAAATTCCGGGACGATCAACAATACCATATTCACATACATATGGAAACGATAAGTCACTCAAAAGGACTGATGAAGCGGGAAAGTATGCGAGATACATACACGCACGGTGAGTATCGGCACACAACGCGGGCAATAAAAGCCGAGGCGCAGTACTGAAACTCTCGCAGTTGCAATTAAGGATTCGGTGTGGGTGTGCGCGCCCGTTCTTTGTTTCTTTGGTGTTCAACACTGTGCTCGCAATCAATATGCGGCTCAACGCAATTGTGCCCAATTTCAAGGCCGACAGCACTCAAGGGCCCATCGATTTTTACGAGTGGCAGGGCGATTCGTGAGTCCTTTTTTGTATTTTTCACTCCCTATAAGTAAGCCGTGCGAAAATCGCTTGTTCATAACTAATCATATCAACTGATCGAGCATTCCATTATCTCGGAATTACTAAGTATCGTGTCGTTGCAATTTATTGTTATTATACCCACGAAATGTTGACCAAACGTACCCCCGTCGATCGAGTAAAAACCAAGCGCCTCCTCTCTACCGATCGATCAAATTAAAAATACAAAAAAAAAAGAACAATCCGCGGTATGAATCACAAAACACATGCATCTCATTATGCGCGTATGAATGTACAAGGTGTCAACAACGACGATCTACGCGTAATTGCGCAAGGCGGAAGGCGCACCTTGATCTTGGACAACACGGCCTTGATTATAATATCGAGACGAACACGAAACGGGTACCGATATGTATATATACATGTGTATCAGCGAAAAGTAGCACCTCATCGCAGTTCCCAGTGTTGGTTTAAACGGGAACAAATAACGGAATAGCACTGCCAATCGAAGTGTGTGTTGTTTTTTACAACACTTTTTTACCCACTTTTGTGTGGGTAATTATCATTCTCACGCATAAAATGTGTCAAAATGACCCTTTGAAAGTGCGTAAATCATCATAAATACCGACACTTGGAAAAAGTGTAAAATTACGAAGATAAAAGCAAGTAAAAAAGTGTTACATAAAATTACACGCTTCGATTTGCAGTGTAAGGTGCTACCTATTATCGATACATTCTCTCTCCAACCGCCACAATACGATTGACGCATTGTTTTTATTCATTTTCTCGAGCTTTAATCGCAAAGCGGCAAACAAACAAGATAAATAATTTCTGTTTTTTTTTGTTTTTTCCTCTTTCGTTAATTGTGAAACACCATGCATATTACATCGCAGTTGGGTCGTGCTCTTCTCCCACCCGGCGGACTTTACGCCCGTGTGCACGACCGAGCTCGGCCGGCTGGCCGTCCACAACGGGCACTTTGAGCGCCGCAACGTCAAACTGCTCGCCCTGTCCGTCGACCAGCTCGAGGACCACGTCGACTGGCTCAACGTGAGACCGTTACACTTACACCCTTTTACCCTCTCTCCTCTTTTTCATTGTGCGTTTTTTTTTTTTTTTTTTTTTTTCGCTCAGGACATAAAATCGTACTGCCGCGACATCCCCGGCGAGTTCCCGTACCCGATACTTGCCGATCCGCAGCGCGATCTTGCCGTCCGGCTCGACCTGATCGACGAGGGGAGCAAGGATGACCCCGAGCACGCCTACACCGTGCGCGCCCTCTACGTCATCAGTCCCGACCACCGGCTACGGCTGTCCATGCACTACCCCACCTCCACCGGACGCAACGTCGAGTTCGTATATCCATACATACTAATATCGTGCACGAGTATACCGATTTCCTTTTTTTAAAATTCACCAAGAGACGATTTGTTGGCAGTGAGATATTGCGCGTCATAGACTCGTTGCAGCTCGTCGATAGAAAACCGCAAGTCGTTACGCCGGCCAACTGGACGGTTGGTTGCCTTACAATTACTTTGTTTTTTTTTTTTTTTTTTTTTTTCCATACGGGTGACCGAATGGGTGATTATTACGGTTGGTTTGTTTGTTTGTTTGTTTAGCCCGGCGACAAGGTGATGGTGGTGCCGTCGGTGAAGGACGAGGAGTTGGACGAGCTGTTTCCCGGAGGAGTCGACAAGGTCTCGATGCCCTCGGGGAAGGTTTACGTGCGCACCACTACCGATTATTAACGATATCGATCACAATAATAATAACAATAATAATAATAATATATTTTTCTACCGTTTATGTTTTTGTTTTCTTTAAGTATAGATTTTATGGAGTATGTTATATGATATTATGTATTTGATAAAAAATAAAAATGAATAATCGAAGGACATTGGGTGTATACTCACGATATTGGCCGGGAGTTTGTGTCCCGGTAGGTATTTGACGTTCTCGTGGGTCTCGTTGATGATTTCCGTGAGCTTTTTGCCCTCGAGCACCTCCTCGTACACGTACATCGTCACCCTCTCCTCGAACTTGTCTGCGAACTTGGTCACGTTCACACCGACGATCTTGGCGATCGCCGAGCCCCTGTTTTATGAAAAAAAAAAAAAAAAATGTTGTTACATGCCGATGAAAAATCGTTGCGTTTGTGGGTGTTTTTATTGGATAACGTGTACGGTCAATGCCACGGAAGGAGTTACGCGAGCCTTTTCGTTTGATGACCGGTTATTTATAGAAAACGCGGGCTTCGGTATACGTGAATTGTGCTTTTTCTCGTCCCCCGAATGCACTTCAAAACTCACATGTTGCCCGAACCGATGACGCTCACCAGCTTTCGAAAGCCACGTTTGCTTTTCATTTTTTTTTTTTTTTTTTTTTTTTTTTCGCTAACCTTTTTTTCCCTGGGATTTTTTTTTTTTTTTTTTTTTTTTTATCGCTAACACTTTGTTCACTGGGAATTTTATTTTATTTTTGTTTTTTTTTTTACCGAAAATCACGTACAACCAAACCAAGAGTAGTGACCTTCAGATATTTCATCGATGTACACGCGCGAAACTTCATTCCGATGAGTATACGATGTATTGTTTCAAACGCATCTCGTGAATAGGAATACACTGAAAAAAATTCTTTTTATTTAAATTAAAAAAAAAATACATATTAAAATAATCAAGTGAGTTAATCAGTTAAATATCTATTAAATATTACGTTACGAGGAAATCATTCGTTTGATACGAATAATTATTTTTTTCATTGTATTCAAACGAGCGTTTATTTGAACTGACGAAATTTTGTTTCTTCGGTGTGTATACGTGTAATCGTGAGAATATTTAAATTATGTACAAACTCACCAGTTTCCGCTACCAACGATGCAAACCTTCGTCTTCGACATGTTGCCCAAAAATACGACAAACGCGCGCCTGATGAAACTTATCTGGTTAAAATAAAAAGCGCCGCTCGTTAAAACTGCACATTATCAGAAAAAAAAAAAAAAGTCAAGTTAAACGGACACTCGGTATGGAGATTGTTAGTATATTTTTGCAAACGAATTAGTACAAATTATACGTGTATACTAACGTGATTAACACAGACACGTACAGAACAAGTGGACGATAAGTAACAAAAAAAAAAGAAAATCGTCCGATTTCTCTCTTACTTTGATCGAGATGTGGGAGCTAGTCGAGCCGAGAGCAAAGTGAAGCTCGGCCAAGCAGTCAAATGCGCTTTCCTCTAGTCTGACCTTAAGAGACGGATTTTACCTTCTTTTTGGCCGCCCGTCAAAGCACAACGTCCACTATACATTTCCGCCAAGGATCCGCGCGCACATACACGCTCTTTTTCCCTGTTTATTATTAGAAGCGGAGGTTGACTCGATAAGCGAAAAATTATCGGTTCTCGTGCTGGACATGAGCGGCTCCTTGGGGTGGTTGACCCTGTTTTTCTTTTCTCTTATTTTTTTTTGTAATTTTACCTACGGCTAATCTCGACGAGAATATGCTTGTACATATCGATAAAGTTTTTTTTCACGTTTACAAAAACACGGAGCCACCTTAAAGATGCGTATTAACTTTCAAACTCTCGCTTTACAAAAATTCACCTTCGTATATTCATTTTATTTNAAAAACAACGTTACTTGGGTGCTTATGAAAATTAATATCGTCCATCTTTATTTCTATACAATACAATGATCCGCACGTGTAGAGATCGTGCGACAGATCATGATAATATTTCGACAAATACTCGTGTACATCGTAACAACAGTCTAGTATATTTAAAAAAAAAAAACCACTACCAAAACACACGAGAAAAAACATTACAAAACCTTCTCTTTTTTTTTTAATGCTTAACTATTTTTTTTTTGTTTTTTTTTTTGTAATCGTAACAGTCTTGCTGCAATACTTAGTAAATATAGAAAAAATGTAAATGTAAACATGTAAAAAAATCTGTTAAAACTTAAAAAAAAAGGAAAAACAAACAATCAACCTGCCACGCACATATAATACATGATATATATATACTATATTTCAATATTATGCTCGAAAAAGAGTTTTCGGGATCATAACATAAGTAAAGGCCTATGACACGTAGAGAAGAAGAGATGATATGGCGATGAGCTTTGGCATTGGTTGGATGATAGTAGCTTGGCATATTTATGCGGTGACGATATGCATGCGTGCGCATGACTTGCGTGTGATTTCTTATTTTCTTTTCTCTCAACGATAAGAATTTCCCTTCTCTAATATCTTTCTCGTAATTCGCCTAAATTGGGATCCTCAGAGGTGACTCTTTGGCGAGGTATTGCTGGCCAGCTGCTTCTCGTACTCGGCGTTGATGTCTTCCCTAAAATTTCGACAGTTCAGCAAAAAAATCTGGAGCTAGTCCTTTCTTTTCATTTCTCGAGAGGAGAAAATTTTTTAAAATGCAGAATGCAGTGATATACTTAATGTACGATATAAAAAAAAAAAAAAAATAAATAAATGAGTGATTATGATTTATGATTTAAATACCTGCGCTTCTTCCGCCTATAGATGATAAGTAGGATTTGTTTGGAAACAAATAAAGTTGTGAGAAATAGTAGATGTAACATTAACAAATCATATCGTATATTTTTTTTTTTTCAAAATAAATTTTTCAAAGTACATTTTGCAACGCTCCTTCACTCGTAACAAAGTTTCGTAATTAATTTAACAGATCGTTTTATATAATTGCTACCTAATTTCTATCAACGAAAGAATTTTTTTTTTTCCAACTTAAAATTTCGTAAATGTGCTATTTTAAATCAAGAAATCAACAATTCTAAAAAATAATCGTGACTCGTGCGATTTTTTTTTATTTGGTAGGATTTTTCTTGTCTTTGATTTATTTAAAGAAAAGCGAGAAAATTTCATGAAACCTCTTTTTTATTGAGTTATCTCAATTTATATAGAATATTTAATTTTTTTTTTTGTAGTAGTAGTAGAGTTTCTACATTACTCTGAGATAAATTATTTAGCATTTTATTCTTTGGGTAGTAAATATTGAACTGCTCGGTAATTATGGCAAAAGTTAAAACTGAGTAAACAAAAGCAAGTTTGCTAACTCAATTATTTGATTAATTTCTAAAATCATGATATTTAATCAAATTATGACTGCAATAAAATAAATGCTTGCAGTCACATTTTATCTCGAAAAATTGCTTATAAAAATAAAATTATGAAGCACCATTCTTTCCTCTATTTTCATAAGGTACCTTTCTCTATCATAGCGGCTATCAAGATTCTATTCTAAGGCAGACAAAATATCGTTTACTAGGAACGTAGTTCCATTAAAATTGTTTATCCAGATCTATATTATTATTATTATTATTATTTTTTTTTAAACCTTTAAAATATATATTGCTACTAAATAAACCTCTACATCTGAAATCAGCTACAAACGAATCGATATACCTTGCACTAATCAACAACCAATACTTGTATACATATATAGACTCTTTAAAAAATCAACAAATTTTCCGAATTTCGAAAAATATCGCTGTATATTCTTCGAACACAGCGCTGTAACTTGTAAAGCTGAACTATCAGGATACGTTTGAAATATTTTTTTTTCAAACTAAAATTCAGTTCCCTAATGAAAAATAAGAAAAAAAAAAATATAAGATG